AATGCGTACCAATTTTATTTAATTTTTTAGGTTTCTAGAATAAATTAGTGGAAGAGATTGTTAGTAGAAAGAGAGATATTTGAAATGGCCTCATTGTATGAATTCTATCTTTAAATTAATATTACTAAATTTATGTTAAAGACCATCATGTTATAAAAATAAAAAATAAAATTAGACCATTTATTTCTAGGTTGTATTAAGAAATACTTTTTATTTTTTTGACAAGATATACTTATTGTGTTATCTTTTATTTATTTTTACAAGAAAAATATGATACTTGTTGATTATCTTTTTTTCTTTTTTTTTGACAAAAGAAGAAGAAGTTGTACTACATTTTTTTTTGCTTGTTGTATTACTTTTCATTTATTTTTACAAGAAAAATAAAAAAATGATGCTGCCAAAGTACATTTTATTTTTTTATGCCTTTTGTTTTATTTTTTTGCAAGAAATACTTGTTATATTACTTTGTATTTTTTTTTACAAGAAAAATAAAAAAATTTTGTATTATCTTTTTTATCTCTATCATGAAAAGCCTTTTATTTTTTCTATTTTTTTACAACAATATTTTCTACCTTTGTTTATTTTTTTGACAACAAAAATATAAACGAGGACACGCTTTAAGGGGTTCGAACTCTAGACGTCCTCCGAAAAATTGGAGATGTCAACCAACACCGCCACATCGCCTAATGTGATTTTATTAGCTTCTATAATAATATATATTTAATCGTCTTGCTTTAATGATTTTTGGTAGGAATTATCCCACATCGAAGGATAAGCGTTGCTTTGTTATCTATAAATTCTTGTGTAATATATGTTGCATTGCGCGTATAGAAAAGTGATGGCGCCGAAATGTGAGGTGAGTTACTACGTGTGGAGGATTTTTAGGTGCCATGTGTTGCTCTCGTGAGGCGGCCATGTGTAAGACTCCCGATTCACTATTGGGAATCGCCCGGTTCTCTTTGGACACGAGCGATTCCTGGTTTTTTTGTGGAACCGGCTCGGTTGCAGACGATTCTCAAGTCGAACCGGGCGAGTCCGACTGGACTCGGTGAGTTTTCAAACCTTGGTCATTGAATGCTAAATTTGTCTCTTACAGTTAATTAATCAATTGTCATCATATGAATGAGAATCTTTTTTTTTTTAATCGTTATTTTATTATGTATGGTTCATTGACGGTAGGGAAAATAACCTCTAACCCCCTCCTCGAAATTTCCATCCCTGTTAGCCTTTGGGTTCACCAAAATCTCTTGTACCCCTCAAGTTTAAATTTTGGAACGATTAGCTTTCTAATTATGTTTTTCTTTGTTCTTTTTACAAATTTGATATTTTTATTTTACAAAACGCCAAACCCTTATATTAGTCAACTTCCTTTCCTTTCTCTTTCGTTGCCTAAAACCAATCTTATCTCCGTAGATCCCACTCCATAAATTTAGACATGAAAAGAAAATGAAATTTGTGTTTTTTTAATATTATGACCTATTTCATAATTGCATCAATATCTTTTGAACTTGAAAAATGATTAGTCAAGATCTTTATTACTATCATTGATGGATTGTTATTATTTATTTATTCATTTAATTAAATAAATTTCTCAAAATACTTATAAAAAATGAATTATTTAACAATTAATATATTGTTGTTGTTATTATTATACTTATTATTAATTATAATTGTTATTATTACGATTATCATCATCAACCAAATTTGTATACCAAAATGAATGACTAATGTATGGGTTTGGCATTTTGTGATCAAATTTACAAAAAGAACAAAAAAAAAGGGGTTAATGGTCCCAAAGTTTTAAACATGAGGGGTACAAGGGTTTTGGTGATCCCAAGGGGCTAATAGAGATAGAAGCTTTGGGGAGGGGGTAGAAGTCATTTTCCCTTTACTATATTTCACCATTTATGTGAGCCTAATCTAGATTATCTAGTATAAAAAAAAATTTAGAAAAAATATCCCCTTATCCCCTATTTTTAACTTTCATATTAGTAAAATGTCTCTATCTTTTCTATCTTATAACCCCCTAGACCCCTTTGACTATAAATTTTTTACCCAAACAAACACTAAAAGGACACCCTATATAAACATTTATCTCTCTCAAACTCCATCCCTCTCTCACATCACCATCTTAGTCTCTCAAAACTCCATCTCTCTTTTTAAAACCCAAACTCCATCTCTCTCACACATTACCATATCTCTCTCAAAACTCAATTTCTCTATCTAAAACCTAAACTCTATCTCTCTCTCTAAAACTCATCTCTCTCATGCATCATTGTCTCTCTCTCACATCACCGTATCTCTCTGTAAAGATAGAGATAGTAGAGATAGTCGAGGAGATATAAATAGTCGAAGATAGTTTTTTTTAATTTTAAGTTTATCTTGTATTTGATGTAGATATATCTTTTGATAAGCCTAGATTAGTTCATTATTATCAACAATTGACTAGCACTCACTTGATAAGACTAGATTAGTTCATTGTTATCAATAACTGATTAGCCCTATATGTATAAGGGACTTTGTATATTCTTGATAATTAATCAATACACATAGATTTTTCTGGAGGATTCAGAATTTTAACATGGTTTCAGAGCCTGGTTGATCTATCACTAGCGATCCGCTATTGTCCGGCCATTGTGATATCTAATCTACCATTAGCAATCCGTTGTTGCCCAGATCGTGAAGAAGAGGGTCAAGAAGTTTAAGAGGCCCCAGAGCGACCACAAGATCTCTGTAAAAGAAAACTGGCGAAGGCCTAAGGGTATAGACTCTCGTGTCAGGAGGAAGTTCAAGGGAGTCACATTGATGACGAACATTGGATACGGCTCAAACAAAAAGACAAGGCATTACCTTCCCAATGGTTTCAAGAAATTTGTGGTGCACAATGCCAATGAACTCGACCTCCTGTTGATGCATAACAAGACTTTCTGTGCAAAGATTGCTCACAATGTGTCCACTTTGAAGAGGCAAAATGTGTCCACTTTGAAGAGGAAATCCATTGTGGAGAGGGCTGCTCAGCTCGACATTGCAGTTACTAACAAGTTGGCGAGGTTGCGCAGCCAAGAAGACGAGTAGATGGTGGTTTAGTCTCTTTCTTCTTGTTTTATCAGAGATTAGTTTTTTAATCCAACCAGATAGGCTTTTTGGGATAAGCTTTCCATTTTTTTATAACTGAGACTCTTCAGGGAACTTTGAGTTGTGCTGGGGATCTTGTGTTTGTTTTGTGATTAATATTTTTGTTCGTCGTAAATTTACAAGTTTGAGGTTCCTTAAAAAAAAAAGAAAAAGGGAGGTGGTCCATAGGGACCATATTATATCAAAACTCCTTTTTATGTTCATGAATTTCCAAATTCTTGATCAGGTCTATGAGTTCTGATACAACTTATACATGGCTTCTGAAAAAGGAGATGTATTGGCTATAAACCTTGATGGGAAAAATTATCCTGATTAGCGGTTTCATTTTCAATTCTTTGTTGAAGGGAAATGTTTATGGAGGTATGTTGATGGTACTGAACCTGAACCAGTTACACCCAATACTAAAGATTCTCAACAATGGAAGATCAACAATGCAAAAATTATCTCATGGATCCTCGGCTCTGTAGATTTGGTTATTGGAAGGCCAATGCGTGGCTTCCATACTGCGAAAGAAATGTGGGAATATTTAGAAAATTTTTATCAGCAATCAAATCTTGCAAGACGCTTCCAAATCGAGTATGATATGTTTTTCTATAGTCAAAGGGAGAAAACCATTCAGGAATATTATGTTAGTTTCATGAACTTATGGATAAAATATGAATATGTAAACTTGAAGGCTATCACTACTGCTTGTTGCATTCAGAGCTTAATGGAGATAAATGGTGACAGGAAGGTGATGCAGTTTTTGATGAAGTTGCTCCTAGACTATGAAATTTTTTGAGCCAATATTTTTAATCGTGAAAAAATAGCCAATATGGATGCTATTCTATGTGAATTACTTCGTGAGGAAATAAGAATCATGACCCAAGCCACCATTGAGGGAAAAAAAGATATAGAGTAGGTACTTGTAACTCAACGGGCTAGAGGAACACCATCACAAAAGGATCCCTATTTGCTGCAATGTTATGAGTGTAAAGAATATGGTCATATAACATTTTAGTGTAAGAAGAAATTTTTTTGTACTTATTATAAACGTGCTGGACATATTATCACAGAATGTCGAAATCCTTCTCGACGAGGCAACCGGGCATTCAATGCACGAAGACCTTTGTACAGGGCATACCAAGCTGCTAATGATGCTTCCAAGGGACTAAAAGTAGAGATCCCTCCATTCAATACTATTCATGACCCAAATACGACAATGTCCCAGACATCAGATGATCTTCGACAGTTGGTACAGAACTCTGTCTCTACGGCTATCTCTTCTGCTTTCTCCACCATGGGCTTGTCTGGTATGAACTCTCACCTGTCATCTAGCGTAAATCCCCTTTGGTTTATTGACTCAGGTACCTCCAATCATATGACTGAAGTGTACACAAGTCCAGCATCTACTAAACCATACCACAATAATAATCAGATTCTCACCGCTAATGGGGATAAACTGAATATTATTGACACTGATAATCTTTCACTTTCTATCTCCCGTGGTACACCTTTTCATTTACGTAATGTCATATTCGTTTCTAAACTAACTGCTAATTTAATATCTGTGCGCCAACTAGTTGATGATAGTTACAATGTTCAATTTTCTCGTGATGGTTGTCTAATATAGGACCAACGCACTGGGAGAGTGATAGGGAAGGGGCGTACAATTAGTCGTTTGTTTGCCTTAGAGTTTGAAAAACCAAATCATGATACTTCTTTCTTTTCTCCATCGAATTCTGATTTTTCTGTTTCCAATAAACAATAGCATATGTGGCATCGGAGACTTGGTCATCCGAATGCAAATAAATTAGATACTTTGTTTCGTTCTGGTTCATTGCTAAATAAAGCTCTTGATTTGAATTCTACCAATAAATATTGTATTAGTTGTTCTTTAAATAAAAGCACTAGTTTGCCTTTTCTGACTCGAGTAGCTACAACAACTGCACCTTTCTATCTCATTCATAGTGATGTGTGGGGTCGTTATCCAGAATGGGATATAAGTATTTTGTTTTGTTCATTAATGATTGTACACGCTATACCTGTATATACTTTATACGCCATAAATCAGAAGTGTTCTCCCATTTTAAAACGTTTTTATCTATGATTGCAACTCAGTTTAATACCAAAGTAAATATCTTACGGTCAGACTTCAGGGGGGAATATTTATCAAATGATTTTCAAGACATTTTAAAAACACAGGGTATCCAATCGTAGAAAACTTGTCCATATACTCCACAACAGAATGACATGGCTGAAAGGAAACCACATCTTAGAAGTTGTGAGGACCCTTATGTATGACTCTCGTATTCCTCATAGTTTTTGGGTTGAAGTTGCATCAACAACTATTTATCTCATAAATCACCTCCCATCAATGGTTTTGCATAAGCAATCTCCATATTATTTTTTATTTTATGTTCATCCTGATTATTCACTATTGCATATTTTTGGGTGTGTATGTTTCGTTCATCTTCCACCGCATGAACGAATAAAATTTTCAATTCAAGCAGTCACTTATGTTTTGTGGGTTATTCTCCCGACCAAAAGCGGTTTCTATGTTATAATCCAACAGCTCGTCGTATATGTATTTCTCGCAATGTTGTCTTTTTGAAAAGCATCTTTTATTACTCTTCAATAGCAAAATCATCAGGTCATCTGCTCCTTTCTTTCCAGATTTATCCATTAATAAACCATCACACCTTTTAGTGCCTCAACAACAAGGCCAACAACACCAATCTACGCACACTCCTTCTCACCAACCAGAGTAAGATCAAACATCTACCCTACCTATAAGTGATTATGTTCTTACTCCTATTGATAGCTCTACTCAGTTACGACGTTCTTCATGTGTACCTCACGCACTTGATCGATATGGTTTATCCCTTGATGATTTTGATTTTTCACTACAGCCTAGAGCTTTTTTTACCTCTCTTGATACGATTGAGATCCCTTTTAATGACCTAAATCTCGGTTTACTCCCTAAATCATTATTTGCCCCTTTATATTCCGTGGATATTCCTCCCTCTTACCAGCAAGCCTTGACTATCCCTTGTTGGAAACAGGCAATGGATGCAGAAATCAATGCCTTGTTGGAAAATGATATTTGGGATCGTGTTCTGTATCCTCCTCACACATCTATTATTGGCAGTAAATAGGTATTTTATGTGAAGCTTAAATTTGATGGACGGATCGAGTGATATAAAGCCCGATTAGTTGCGCAAGGTTACAAACAGGCGTATGACATAGAATATGATGAAACGTTTGCTCCAGACTATGATGAAACATTTGCTCATGTTGCTAAAATGGCTACTATATGAACCGTAATTGCCCTCTCCGCTATTCGTCAGTGGACTATATCTCAAATGGATGTGAAAAATACATTTCTCCATGGACATTTTGAAAGAGACAGTATATATACGACCTCCTCCTGATTATTGCAATGATAAATCTATGGTATGTCATTTGAAAAAGTCCTTATATGGTTTAAAACAAGCTCCTAGAGCTTGGTTTGAACGATTTCGACAGCGCGTTCTGCATGCTGGGTTGAAACAAAGTGCTAATGACTATTCACTATTTACTCATCATTGTTCTTCAGGAATAACAATTCTTCTCCTATATGTTGATATGATATTCTCATCACAGGGGACAACCTGGATAATATCAGACACTTGAAAGAGCTTCTCAGTCAATCATTCAAAATGAAAGATTTGGGTCCTTTAACTTATTTTCTTGGGCTGGAGATTCATTATTCCCCTAATGGATACATAGTTAACCAGAAGAAGTACACTAAAGATTTGATCAAACTGGATAACTTATCTGATGAAAAAAGAGTAGATACACCAATGGAGGTGAATGTAAAATATAGAAAGGATGATGGCGACAAATTTTCAGATCCTACTCTATATAGACAACTGGTTGGGAGTCTACTTTATCTCACTATGACTCGTTCATATATTTCTCATGCTGTTCAGGCCGTTAGCCAATTTGTTGCTGATTCTCGTCGCATCCACCTCTCTGTTGTCCATCGTATTATTCGTTATCTATGGGGTACATATCATAGAGGTCTTTTATTCTCTTCTAACTCTTTTCTCCAGTTACGAGCCTATGCCGATACGGATTGGGTAGGATGCCCCGATACTAGACGTTCAACTACTAGGCGGTGTGTTTTTCTTGGAGATTCTCTTATCTCATGGAAATGTAAGAAACAACAAACTATGTCTAAATCTTTTGCAGAAGCCAAATATCGAGCAAATGTCCTTAGCTTGCAGTGAAATTACTTAGTTGAGAGGCCTTTTACAGGACCTCAATATTCTTCATCGAACTCCTACACCATTGTATGCTGATAATATGAACGTCATACGTATTGCGTCAAATCCAGTGTTTCATGACCACACAAAGCATATATAGGTTGATTGTCATTTCATTCGTGACAAGTTTATGGTCGAAGAAGTTTCACTCCCATATATTACCTTCCAACAACAACTTGCAGATATCCTTACCAAGGCAATGACCTGTGCTCGTCATGACTATCTCGTTGACAAACTGATGATGTTCACCCAACCTCAGTTTGAGGGGGAGTGTAGAGATAGAGATAGTCGAGGAGATATAGATAGTTGAATATAGTTTTTTTTAATTTTAAGTTTATCTTATATTTGATGTAGATATCTCTCTTGATAGGCCTAGATTAGTTCATTATTATCAACAGTTGATTAACACTCTCTTGATAATACTAGATTAGTTCATTGTTACCAATAACTAATTAGCCCTATATGTATAGGGGACTCTGTATATTCTTGATAATTAATCAATACACAGAGACTTTCTTGAGGATTCAGAAGTTTAACACTCTTTTAAAACTCCATCTCTCTCTCTAAAACCCAAACTCCATCTCTCCCTCTAAAATCAAGTCTCTCCTTGCATCTCTCTGGTTTTCTACGGTTCTTGCTAAGCCAAAATTAGCAATCTTGGCCCTTAACTAACCATAAAAAAGAACATTACTGCTCTTGATATCTATATGAACATAACCAGGACTCGTGTAATTGTGAAGATAATGGAGTCCATTTTGCTATATCATGAGCAATCCGCACCCTTTGCTTCCAACCCAGACCAAAGAACCTCTCTCTCCCATGCTTTCTTTCTCTATGAAGCCAATCACTGAGAGAACCATTCTCTGCAAATTCATAAACCAAGTATGCATTCCCTTGATGTATACAAAATCCAGACAATCTTACGATGTTCAAATGATTTATCGTCTCCAATATGCTGATTTCAGATGAAGCATCCCCACTCATCCTCTTTATAGCAGCTATATCCCCCTTTATAGTGGCCCTATAAACTGATCCCTTAATTCTATAATCTGAGCTAAAATCATTGGTAGCTTTCTGCAAATCCTCAAACTTATACACTGGAACTGAATGGACAGCAGAGTAAAGACCCTTTGAAAAATCAAATTTGGAGTAATTATCACATGCCACTTTCTTGACTGGAAGTAGAGTATAATAATTTTTACTCAAAAATTCAGTTTTTTTATCCATTGACAATGGTATCACATGTAACAAAACCAAGAGAACAAGCCAAGGCCTTCATGTTTTTAAGAAACATCCATGCCTCACAAGCACTACAAGCCCACACATCAGGCCACTCTTGGCCACAACCCACCAGGGAGCCAAGCTCCCACTTTCTCTCTCTACATTTTGCCTCTCAAGCCCCCTCACCTTTTTGCCGTTATAAAATGTTAGACCATTCCAGATCCAGTCATCCACCAAGAGAATGACAAACTTGAAATCCTTGAAGACAATCACAGTTCTCTGCCTCTTTCCTCACCACGTCAAGCACTGAATCAATGAGCTCTGTCCCCTCTGTATAGTGGCTTTTGGCCCAGTTGTTTCCAGCACCGGATTGACCAAACACAAAGTTATCAGACCTGAAGATCTGGCCATAAGGACTAGTGCGCACGCTATCCATGGTTTCGGGCTCAAGTTCCATGAGAATGGTTCTAGAAACCAACTTCCAAAATTTTAGTTATTTTTTGTCGACCCAGGAAACAAACCAGAAGCCCACAAAGCAAAAGAACAATAATTCTAGAGAGAGAGAGCGACTGAGTTTCGAGAGAGAGGGAGAGACTTGATTTGAGAGAGAGAGGGAGAGAGGATAGGTTAAATGGAAGTTAAGTTTTTGAGAGAAGGGAGTCATTTCATATATTGTTGAGGTCAATAATACATGATCAAAAGGTTTAGGGGGTTGAAAGATAGAAAATAATGTTGACTTTTTTTTTACAAGTAATATTTTCATATTGGGTCTGAAGAGATATAGAAATTAAAAATACGAGATATGGGGATATTTTCCCAAAAGTTTATTGATAATTACTTTTAAACGAACTTTTTCATTCGTTCACTCCTGAAATTCTCCGGTTTCTTGTGTTTTGATTTGGAATGAAATATTCTTTCCGTTTCCAAATAACCATTGATTCTATCTTTAATAAAATATGCCCTATAGTATTGAAATAAATATCCCAAGCGATACTTCTTAATAGCTGGGTTTTGCGTTATGATGCTGCCCGTTTGTACTTTGGAGATTCGACTTCACCCTTGTAAAGGGTTTCTTATGTACGTATAGTCAAAATTACCCATTATTCCATAAGTTTGGTTGTTTTTTTCTATGAGGTCATGCTCTCCTTAGTATTTTACAAATTGGCCTAACCATTTATTTTTTAATTAATTTATTTATTTATCATTCGTGTGGTAGTCCAATGTCCAAAATATCAAACCATCGCATTTGTAGGGCGGTACAATAACGGAAACATTAGACCGCCCTACATTTTTCACCCAACTTGTCCATGGAGCTGTTCAATATTAAAAAGATCAGACCGCCTAGACTTATTATTTTAACATTTAGTAGACTATTACACAAAATTTCTTTCTTGGAAAAGGGCAATCCAATGTTTGTTTGTAACATTGGACCACCCCATAGATAGGGGGTGGCAGACTTGGGACTCGACGGGTATAATCGACTTCGGGTCCGGGTATGGGTCAAAATTTTGGACTCGGACCCAACCCGTACCTGTAATTACAGGGTACTACCCGCAATTATAGGGTATATGATGGCAATCATGTATCTTTAGGCATGCTAGGTGTTCATACTATGACAATATTGGCAACATTAATTATTTGCAAGAAAAAAAAGAAGCTCATAGTTGTAGAGTATATGATGGTAAAGAAAAGGGCCAAAAAATAATAATTAGCTCATAATCATAGGGTGGCAATGGATCTTACTACACTTTTTGTATTGTATATGTTGAAATGCGGCCCAGCCTACATGAAACAATTTTCCATATATTAAACATTAGACCGCCCCCCGAATATCCAAAAAATTAAAAATAAAACCAATAAGTAGTTGGATACTTAAACATTGAACAAAAGGGCAAAATAATAATAATTAGTTCATAGTCATAGGGTGGCAATGGATCTTATTACACTTTTTGGATTGTATATGTAGAAATGCGGTCCAACGTGCATGAAACAATTTTCCATATATTAAACATTAGGCCGCCCAAAAATAAAACCAACAAAAGGGCAAGTTTGAAAAAAAAAAAAATTCCCTTCAGTACGGAAAAGCTTTACGAGAAATATTTACTTTTTATTTCTCAAATGCAAGGACCTTTGGTAGGAAATCTTTTTTTTTCATTTCTAAATTTATAGTATCATATTGGTGCTGCTAATTACATTGCTCTTCGATTTTCTTTTTTAAGATTCCTACTTAAGTGAGGTCTTTGACTCCATTCTCACCAAAGAGTCATTCTCAACAAAGGGTAGGAGCCCAAATCCCCACTAACTTACCACTTTTAAAAAAGACTTGACCAAAAAAGAAAAAGAAGACTCCTACCTAAGATTTAAAACAACGTCAATTTAGACCACAACCAACCGATCTGAATCAAGAATCATCAGTTACGAACCCGTTCCCACTAAATATCAGGAACCAGTCGGTTCCTCTATGAGATGGCCAATTCTCTAACATGACTAACCAGTTCCGTCAGAGAACCGATCAAAATCAGCTGCAAAAATTTATATTTTTAATTTTTTAATGACCGGATCGCTGATCCATGCCGAATCGAATTGTAAATATATGCGATTCGGATCACCCAACTGGTTTTAGAACCTTGTTTCTACCTATTGCTTACCATTCTTTTTCCAAGACATTTGTTTGACAAAACCATGTATAAGGGGGAAAAAAGAGCAAGATTGGCAAAACTTTTGATGAAAGAAATCTATGACGTCAAAATTTGTTGTACAATAGCAAATAAATATGTTTACAATATTTTCGTTCACACTCAAATAATCTATCGGCGTAATAAAATAAAATGACAAGATTTCTAATTTAAGGCGAAAAAAATTACAATATTTTAAAATAAATATAAGTTTTTTATTTGACATCAAACTAGAAACATCATTTCAAATTGTAGTCTTGGTATCAAAAGCCATACTGATAATCTGCAATCTATTTTAAACCTTAATTATGATAGTTGAAGCTTCAAAATGGTGTGGATCCTTGTAATATCAATAATATTTGTTAACATTGATAAAAATAAATTAAAAATGGTGTTGACCATGTGGAAACCACGCATGTTACAAGGTACAATACTCACATATCCATAATTTGCAGAGTTGAGATGATCAATTTAAAGATTTTTCAATTCAAAAACTACAATTTTTTATGAGATTTGACACGTGACTATTTTTTCCATGAGCCAGACCTCATCCTAGCCATTTTATTGGTACAAGACGATGTTTTGTGACAGTCATTCGTTTTAAGTAGTTGGGGACTGCCCGGTTTACTCATGGTAGTGTAATGTATAGTAGATATTTCCTTTCTACCATATCTCGAGAGGAAGAGAGATTGGCAACAAAAATAGAGGTAAAAACCCAATAACCGTTCCGTTGACCACCGACACAATCTCCTAGATTAGGTGAAGACATTAAATTCTATCCCCTCTCCACCTGAACGGCCCAAGCAGACTCCAAATCATCTCTCTCTCTCTCTCTCTCGTACTAGGGTTTTAAAAATGGGAAAATATCCGCATATTTTTTACTTTTGATTTTTATATTTCAATAAACCAAAATATTCAAAATATATCACTTTTTATTTCCATATCTCAATAAACTTAAATATTCAAAATATATCTCTTAACCTTTTAACTAACTTTATCTACTTTTAACTTGTTTTTTAGCCCTAACAAATATAAAAAATACATATTCATTCTAAACCGTTCGTCTCTTTATGTGATATATTCCCTCTAAATCTCTCTCTATCTAACATTCACCCTCTTTGTCTCTCTAATGGGAGAAAGAGAGTGACAGACACGGGAAAAAAAGAGTAGAAGATAAAGAGATATATATTTAAGAAAAAATCACGCGAATAGAGAAAAATGATGGTGTTTAGAAATGATGTCTTTCTTATGTTTGTTTGAAACAAAAAAATAGATTTAAAAGAGATAAAATTAACTTAAAAAGCAAAAAAATATAAAACTTAAAATTTTTATGACCCAATATATGTTTTGAAACATGGACTCTATTGAGATATAAAACTTAAAAATAAAAAGTATGGAGATATTTTTTTTTTAAATTAAAAATATGTGAGTTGAATGGATTCCCTCGGTACCCATCTGGTAATGGTGATCCAGGTTTTGGGATCACCGGTTTGCACTAGATACTCCCCGAGTAGCCAATTCCCACCGGTTTTCATTGTTTTCTGTTTGTACTTTTTAGTTGCATTGCATATGTACACAGATCCAGATTAGTGAATCGCCAATTGGATAGGCAAATCAGGAATTCACGCCATGATGATCCAAGGCACCAATCTGACTATTGGGACCATGCTTTGAACACTCAATTATCTTAATGGAGTTTTCAATGTATATCTTTCCTTAATACGAACATGACAGATACACTATCACATCCGTGGTCTGATTCCTGAGAGGGAAACTTTAACAAGCCAATTATAAGTGATCCGTTTTCTAGAACCACATTCTTGGAATGGAGAGAGAGAGAGAGAGATAACATACTACAATGTATCTGGTTTTCTGATCATTTTGTGACTAAATTTCTGATGATTCTTCAATGTATGCTCTCTCTCTCTCTCTCCGAACACAAAACACCTATCACCAGGAATTCAGAAAACCAATCACAACACCATGATACACCAGGTTTGACCAAAATTAAACATATACAAGAAGCTGGTTGAGATTATTCCTTCACAAAGAATATAAGCTAAAGTTTTACAATCACAAGAATAGAGAGGACCTTTCAATAGAGGTTACTTATTGACCTCAGGTTCACGTAATGGAATCACAAGAAAAAGAACATAGCATTAAAATCTCCAGATACACTACTGATGCATGAAGAACCCTTCTCTCAATAAATAGAGAGTAAAAAATAAGAAAAGATTAATCTAGGGTAACAATTATGGCAAGAGAGAGAAACCAAGTTAAAGACCAGGAATCGCTTCGAGATCATACTTCTCTCCAGTCTCTAGTGAGCTTTTCTTGGACTTCTCTTGTTCTCCTGATGTTTCAGTGAAACCAATAGAATGTGAATAAGAATATGAAGCCGGTAGCTTTGGAGATGGGTCAGGATTGCTTATTCTACTTGCAAGGAAGCGACGAATGAGACCCCTGAGAAATGGGGCCATGGTTTCCGGCTCATATTCCAAGTAATACATGATTCCCCCCATACATAGACAGAAGAGTGGCACCTGTTGTCAAACAGTAATTTTGCCATGAGAGAGAGAGAGAGAGAGTTATTTCAGATCCTTGATTAATTTGATTTCAACACAATTCGCCCCACAATTCGTCCAGGTTTCAGAAAAACATCTCGGTTGAGTATACATTAACATGCATGCATGTGTGATAAATTCCATTCTTGTTAAACAGAATACCTTTGATGAATTTGGTTTCGACACAATTTGTCTAGGTTTCAGAAAAATATCTGGGTCGTGTTTACATCAACATGCATGCATGTGTGCTACATTGCATTATTGTTAAACAGAATCAACAAAATCATGAAGAGATATTTAAATTTGTTGGATGTACTTTGGTGAGTATTACCATATCTACATCACCAAACTTTAGATCTTCACTACATTTACTAGGTTACAACTAACATTTTATCTACATTCTACACAGGTGTCCATGGACAACCCATGTTTGATGACTTCAGGGTGCATTCTCCAACAGTTCAACAGAAAATATAAACAAAGTGAAGGCAAACAAAATAAAAGACGTGAGTTAGAGTTTTTCCTAGTTTTGGAAGAACCGATCAAACCAACCACAACTCTCCCTCTATGCTGCAAAACTGAGGTGGAAAACACCCCTCCAAATATCCCTTGCCCCATCTTTACCTAGAAAACTGGCAATATTTACATAATTTTCTTTTTTGATAATATTTACATAATTCTCAAACTGAATATCTTTTTCAAATATGGTGGCATCTTTATAAATATACTTAAATAAGTCCAAAATGAACACACTGAGAATGAGAAAGTTGGAAAAAGCATACCTCAGCATTCTTGATATCAGGAAGTAAATGGCGATTCACTAAAATGTACCACAATGAATCTGAAGCTCTGGGAAGAACATATAGACCCAATTCCCCTCGTTTTGCTTTTTTCTCCAGAAGCACCGACAATGCTGCCATTCCTCCAGCAAACCAGTATACAAATTTGTGGTCTTTTGCTGCTACCTTTCTATGCAAACATATGACAGCCTAATAATGCAAAATTATGTAATGTCAGAATAAAGCATCAAATATTCGTTTTTGTTGATAAGTAATGTTTATAGATCAAGAAACATAAAATAATACCTGAAAAATTCCTACAAATGCTGATAAGAATGTTGTTGAGCGAATGGCACCACTCATGGCAATCCAAGAAGTACGAATAGGCGATTCCATAAACTAGAATCCATGAACATAATGCAAATCAGTAAACCTAGATTAATGAAAATAAATTACACGATAGAAAAAAAAAGAAGCCAAAACGAATATGAACTACCATGAGATGATTAATTCATTATTGACCAATTGGGCCATCAAAGCACTATCAGATGAAACAGAGAGAAAACTCCAAGCAAAGGAAACTATGGGTCTAATTAATGTAAACAAAGACAGGAAAATCAGATGCAATGTTCTTGAAGAATTTTTCCATGATTCCAATGTTTGGTCCTCAATAATTTAACATATCCATCAAGAAGTGGCAATGTTTGATCTAATCAAACGCGTTAAAAGGCAGGCCACAGGTAAGCTGTACCTCAAAGACATAATAGATCAAACATCAAAGATCAAACACCCCCTCTTAAACACAATAATAGCTGAGAAGCAGGAACTTTAGGAACTAGAGTCACTAAAAACTGGCACTGGCCTATTACTCTGAAGGGAAGATTCTGGACTAGAGTAACCAGGAGTCGGAAGCCTAAGTTTTGCAGAACGGGTGCCATACCAACACTAAGATGAGTTTTCCATAAAAAGGGACTGCTGTTTTGTATTTATTTATTTTTACTTCTTCGCGGTAAGGTCTTACTATACCTAGAATTGAGAAACCTTCAACAATGTGTGAGCAACTCAACCCCTTCTGACACATTGATGAGCCTATCTAATCCCATCCCAGCTTGTCTAGTAGTCCCCAAATGTTGATTACATAAGGGTCTTGATTGGTCCAAGCTTTCTCTCAAAAAAGAAGAAGAAAACGAGTAAAAAACGACTTGATATTTTATTAGTTGAACTCCATTTATGATTGAACCTTCATGTGTTTGTTCTGTAAACTAATTTCGCTCAATGCTCAAGTGTCATGCGGTATGATTGCATCTTTTAATTCAAATGTTTATCCCATCAATCACTGGGCCAACAATGATGCATTCCCAAGATCATGTTTCAGAGCAGGAGCTTGAACAAATTATGGAATTCGCCTGTCATTGCATTAATATTTTGATGAGCTTCATTCACATATTTCACATTCTGTATAACACCCCAGTGACCCCATTACATAAGTGAACAGGGAACCATATTAATTACAGTATATTATTAACCACAATTATATTACCACAACACCATGAGGAATATCGGTCACCCAAAAAAAAAAAAAACAATAAACAATGTGCAGAACAGCAATTTTGTACAATAAGAATGGTCCTTTATTGGCAAGTGTGGGATTTGAATCCAAACTCAAGGTTGTCAGACTTAGAGCTCCAGAACTAAAAGGTCGCAGAGCCTTCTTTCAAATAAAATAAAAGATATTCTTCATAGCTTCTATCAAAATAACTCCCATATCAACAGTATTTATCCATGAAAGAAAGGCAAAGCACCGAAAAGGTTCTCTGCCGAGAAACAAGATAGGACAAGTCACAGGAGTTCAAAACATCCAACAAACAATTTCAGATAACCAATACAAATGGTCTCAAACGTTGAATAGCAGAATCATAATAAGATATACACTAATAAAGAATAAAGAATCACTCTAATAGACACGTGAGTCACCTTTTGTAAGTGCAGCACAACATATGGCACAAATGTTAATGAGAAATATAACGGGAAGGTTTTCCTGAATGTAGCTGATGTTGCATTTGCATTATGTGCAATGCAAGATGCCGTATCTGGATGAATTACAGAACAAGGGAGGATTGAGGGATACTCATTTAAGGTGATAGAGCTGGATCCCTTTTTGTTTTGTAAGTATGCTGACAAAGAAACAAGATCAACAGGACCACCTCTACAGCATTCCCTAACAGCTGTATACACTGGCTCCGCCACGGGGCCAGTCGTTGAGATAAAATCTTGATATGCCTTAGGTAGACTCTCAGGCCGCATCACAAAGGAATACATCACCTGAAAAAAATATGGAATAAGTGTAAAACCTTAAAGAATTCTTCTTTTGCTTTAGACAAAAATAAAAGCCTTTTTCCTTTCTTTGGTTAGATATGGAACCACAAAGAATACAATTTTTTCCAAGGCACATATCTAAACAATCTTCTCTGAGGAAGATACTTTGTAATAAGATTTGCGCCAGAGAATGTATGCCCTTTCCGAAATTAGAAACATCAAATCAATTTGATGAAAAAGATACTCAAATATAAATTAACTCGTATAGCATAATCAATTCTTCTTTTTCCCTATTAGACCGAAATGGGCCTTGTTATATTACTTCCGTTGAATAGAATCATATAATTTGTTCGGTGGTAACATTGACTGGTGTCCTATGAAACGCATCCTAGAAAGACACTCTTCATGGAGGACTTGTCAAATTTTTATGAAAGTTTCCTTCTTTTCGTATTTAAATATTTTATCAATGATAATAAGCTTTTGAAAGAAAGAATGAGAATTTCCGAATTCCAAAAAATTGTAATTCTCATAGTTGAACAATGCATAGATGACCTTTCTCATAGTTGAACAATGCATAGATGACCTGACCTTTTGAAGACATTCTATAATTTTGAAACCCTTGGTTTACCTGGCCGCACGATAGAGCAAATAGTAAAGAATCTCCATGGCTCCAATGACTTCCCCAAAGATGAAACTTGTTCTTCGACTTAGCAGAATTATAAACACACTGTAAGAAAATTTATTACAAAAGAATATGAGAAAAATAAAACATTTTGGAAGACTCTGTATATAAAAGAAGAGAAGGCCTAACTAAAAACAAAAGAAAATAGGAATGATGGCTATGAATGCTAACAATACCTGTGCAAGCCTTGCTAGAAGATACAAGGCAAGGGTGCGCCTCCGATTAGAATCGTCTAATGCTAAAATAGATAAGCCTGCCACAGAGCCTGCTAGAGTTCTGGTCCACCATGCCCTCTAAGTCATGAATATTGAAGGCGAATTATGCATCGCGCGAAAATATAAAAACTATAATTTTCAAATCAAAAGTTGTTGAAAATTGGAATTTGATAAGGACAAGGGCAGCAAGAAAATATACAATCAAAATGTATTTAAATAAAAAATACATGTCAGAGCAAAAATAAAGATACTCAAAACTTTTAGATGCTCATTCTTATTGAAATGCATATGAACTTACGCATTCAATGGTGTCTCTTTCTTTCTCAGCTTCCTCAGCAAACACCGAAGGGCATGATACGAACCAGTGAAACCACCAAAAAGTAAGCCAATCCGGCAGGCTTCCTCCCTTACAATCAAATCTTTTTCTGACACAAGTTGCTGCACATATGTGGGGAAAGATATACGGTTACAGCCAAACTAGATTCTTTTACATGTATTGGGACCCTTTTCTTGTGGCTTTTGTCATACGAACAGTAGAAGGAAATTGCTACTCAAAAAAAATCCATAGCATATGATTCTTACAAGTTATCTCCAAAATTTTTGCAACTGGTGTATAATTTGCAGGAAAGATGAAAAAAATGCGGATCAAATATTCCCACCAATTTCACTTTGCAGGAAGAGAAATTATTCCACGAATTGAAAAAATATCTAGCTTCCAATCTTCAATTAAGTAATAAAAGGGGCTGGATGGAATCAGAAGGGCATCACTTTCATGGTGATTTCTAGCTTCAGCAATTGGAGAGAGCGGAAAGAGAAACAAGGGAAGGAGAAGGATTTACAATGCATTGAATAGGTGATTTGAAAAAAAAAATGCAATGACAAGACGGGTCAAGAGTGCTAGAAAGAACGCCATTGCTGGTCTTAGAAGCCCAAGTTGCACAACCACAAGAGACTTTCAGCTGACGACTATACCAGAGGTTGAACGAATCTCCGCCAGGATAAGAATATTAACGCTCAAATTTGAAGTCCAATAGGAAGAAAAAGAACTGCTGGGAAGAAAAAACTCGTAATAGGCAAAGGTACATGGCTTGTTAGATTAAGGATGTTATCAAATGCAGGATGCAGACTCGATGCGGTCAGGGGTCCAATGTGGAATGCAGCTTGATGAGGTCCGGGGTGCATCACATGTGATGCAGTCAATAACTTAAAAAACATACAAAAATCATAAAAATATAAGAATGCATAGAATACTAATTCGTGATGTATGTAATAATAGAAATTTAATTTAGTACTTTTCTCTAATATATTAGAGGTCTCAGTTGCCTTAATAATCTGTTAAAGAGTAACACAGTTTGTTGTCTTACGTGTAATATAGAGTAATCCATTCTATCCCAGTAGTAATGACAAATAACAACTTAACATGCCAACAAAATGCCAAAAATACTTCCTAATCACAAGTTTGTAACCACAACCTCACAGCCACAACCTAAACATAACTTCCAAACTGCAAAGACCAAAAGTTCATGACATATAAAAAATAAAAGATGATAAATACACTCATGATCAAGGAGTCAATGTGCCAACGCTCAAGTCTCAATTAGACAAGTCTCAACTCCCAAACAACTCTCAATTCTCAAGTCCCAACTCCCAAATCGAAAGAAATTCCGATTTCTAGGATTTAATCTCCTAGTCCTTGAATCCTTCAAATACTTGTTAAATCTTCAACACAAAACTTTCAAAACGAAGCCCAAAACAATATCATACAATCCACCATAGATTCAAGAACCAACCCAGATTATATTCAAAAAAATTGGAAGCATAAAATTTTTTGTTTCCTTTTTTCTCTTTTTTTAAATTGTTTCAATACCCTTAGAATCATGGAAGTATGGTTTTACAGGTTTTTTGGGGGCGTTTATATGACCCCCCCCCCCCCCCTTCCTGCCCCAAAATCCTTTCCCCCTCTTATTCGGTCAGCCCACGAGCAGGGGCGCATATGTGGGCACATTGCCCCTGATGTGATGCCACCACATACGCGGTTGATGCACCCCATATGCGGTCACATCACAAATTCCAGCATATAAGGGTGGGGGCGATGTACCCAGGGCCGCATAATGCATCACGTGGCTGTGCGCGGCATTTGATAAGATAGGACATGAATTCACTGAGGCAGGCACAATGTGTTATTTGATGGTGTAAGCGTGTGAGTACCATGGAAGATGGAAAACTTTCTCAAGACAACATGAATTTGATGAGTGCGCTGGGATGGGGAGGGTACTCTATGATTATAGGGAAGTAGAATTTGTTGTGAATCATCATCAACATCTGAGCCTTATCTGAACTATTTGGGGTTGGCTCATGATAGGGATGTGGCAAAAGTTCTCCACCTTTTGCCACTTGGCTGCCAACCTAACATGCCCTCCTCATTAATTGGAAGGGGGAAGGATTTGGGGACGTGAATTTTTTCTATCTCCAAAAGGACAGTGCTCCTCAGTTTCCTTCTATATCCAAAAGAACTGTGCTTCTCAGTTTTATCTGGTGAATGCACTTGCTGTTGAAATTTTCTTAATGAAAAAAAGCACATCAAGCATAGAATAATATCCCAACTTCCCAATAATGTAGAAGAAGAGCTAACATTCACTGATCACATGGACTTCGATAGGTTTTTTCACTCCAAAAAACGTTATGCATCTGAATAGCTCAGGATAATGAAGTTAACTTTATATTTGCAAGAAAGCAATGAGGTTCAGATAAAAGCAATTGTAAAATTCACCAATAAAAACATTCAAGAGGAGAACCAGCATTTGGGTAGTAGAGTGGCTGGTTCTGCTGGATAAGGTCTAACATTTATCATCTAATACACCGAGGGATGCTTATTCCAAATTGTCGAACATTCTGCAAATAGTATGCAGAAGGGGGGTTGGGGGGGTGGGGGGGGGGGGGGGGGCGTAGTTCACTCAAGGCTGCAACCCTGGTGGAGCCAGACCCAGTTGGGTCTGGCCCACACAAACCGAAAGCAGGTCTTACGGGTGAACCAAGACCCAGGCCTGGGACAGCTGGGTCAGGCTGACCTATTTGACAGCATAAGACATGACAAGTAATAGACGCAAAGTTTGGGAATAATCAACCACACAGAGAACACAAAAAATATCAAAAAGGACGGAGAAAAAAACCAGATGATGGTTTCTATTCTATTTACAAGTCTTCAATACACATATCCCACAATTAGAATAAAAATATAAACAAACAAAATGCCTTCGACATTAGGATTTCCAGTCCTGAGAAACTCAGAACTCCATAATGCTTAATGCAAATATAGGAAATCAGAGAGAGAGAGAGAGAGAGAGAGAGAGAGAGTAATATAGTTACGTA